TCACTTCTGTGCTCCAACAACATCCCCTCGGACACTCCGACCAGTGTTTGGAGAGTTTGTTGATGGATGACGTTTAGGCTTCTTCCCTCTGGTCCACAGTGAACAGTGCTGTGAGCACCCACACGTGGTCATTCGCTCATTTGTTTTCAGTTCTTCAGGGTGAGTACGGGGGAGGGGAATTAGACGGTAGCTGTTTTTAAGGAACCTCTCTATACTGCGCTCCCCAGGGGCAGCGTCGTTTGGTGTTCCTAGCGGCCATGCAGAGTCCCCACTTCTCCACATCTCTCCGTATTTGTGCACAGTGTTTGGGATTGTGTGCAGGGTGTTGAGCTGAAAAGTGCCACGCAATGGAACATCCAGCCCCGCACTTAGGTTTTTAATGACTGCCGCGGCAGGTGTGAAATGGTGTCCTGCTGTGGCCCTGGTTTGCATTTCCCTGATGACTAATGGGTTTTGCATCCCCTTCCGGAGCCCAAGACTATACCTCAGCTACGATGAGGTAAACAGACAAATGCAGCCCTAAGAGGGACCAGCCCAGCAACTGCCGGGTCTCACCTCAGGTCAAAGGTGAGCTGAGATTGGAGTGCAGCAGTGGGAGGTTCTGGGATGAGTTCCCACCCAGAGTTCTCCATGAACTCTCCCCTCCCCCATCACATCACCTGCTCCAAGGTCACCCCATGAAGCCAGTGAAGAGCTGTCAAGGAAAAGGTGCTGGTTCACATGGCTCCAAGCCTGTGCCCTGTGCCCAGCTCTGCTAGGTCATCGGTGACAGATCTCTGGGCTTCCCACGAGGCCCAGAGCAGCCCACCCTGTGTCCAGTGCTCCCCGACTTCAGTTCTGAAGACACTTGGCTTGTGCAACCTTTTGAGATGCATCCTCAAGACGGTGGGAAGAGAATTCATGTGCTTGAGGACTCTGTCTGGGTGTCAACTGTGGAGGTCCTGGGGGTGAATCCACTGCTGCTGCCCTGGGGATGGCAGAACCTGGACTTTTTTGGTAGGCCTGGCCTTGGGCCCCACCCACACGTCCAGACTTGGCTGCTACTTTCCCGTGTCCATCCACCTGCTTTCAAATGCCAAGACGGGGATTGCTGGTCAGGACAGAATATTTTTATGGTAAAAAATGAGCCGCAGTTGCGTCGGCTCCAGGAGGGTGGGAGCCGTCACCTGAGGTCGCCCAGGCAGATGGATGAAAACTCTGCTTATGAAGTCACTGCTCCCCTATCAATTAGGGGGGAGGGGGTACTCCCGCACCACCTCGGACCTCACCCACGGCCAAAAGCTTGTCAACATCTTCCATGGAGAATGAAAATGTAAATAGCTTTCAGATTATTCAATGTCACCAAGGTGTGGAAGAAGGTGGCCATACTGGGTGTCATTTATCTCCGTGTGGATTTAAAGAGCTTTTTTCTATTAAATTTCTTAAAATTAATGTTTCATGTTGCTCAGAGTAATTTGAACAATTATGGGCTTAAAGAATTGATCATTACAGCCCCTGGGATTCAGCACTCCATGCTGGAACCTTTGAAACCCCACTGATTTATTGCAGTAACTGCTCCATGAGGCCAGCTCTGGGGCTGGACCCCATTCCCTCCTGAATGGCCTAGGGGTTGATACTGGCAGATGGTGGGGAGGAGTGTGTCCCCAGGTGCCCCAGATTGGAGGGGTCCCAAGTCACAGGAGCCCCAGTATGAATTTTACATGTAAGAGGAAAACGCCTTTTTTATGTATTTGTTGGTTGAAATTAACTTTCTCTCTCTCCCTCTCTCTCTCTCTCCCTCTCTCTCCTTCTGTAGCTCTGGCTTGAACTCCTGATCCTCCTGCCTCAGCCTCCCAAATGCATTACCAAGTCTGGCTGGTAAAATTACTGTTTTTATCATATCATTCAAATACTGTCTTTTGTTTTGTTTGGTCTTTTTGAGACAGGGTCTCCCTGTAGCCCCAGCTGTCCTGGAACTCGCTATGTAGACCAGGCTAGCCTTGAAACTCAAAGGTATCCGCCTGCCTTTGCCTCCAAAATGCTGGGATTAAAGAAGCATGCCACCACACCTGGCTTCTTTAATATTCTAGTGGAAGTCAATTCTGCCTCTGCCTCCCAAGTGCTGGGACTACAGGCATGTGCCACCATGCCCGGCTCAAATACTATCATTTAATGATACAATATAGTCCCCAAACTAAAAAACTAAGAAACCAAAGTGGGTGACTTCAGTACTCACCCCCTCTGAGGTTCCCACCCAAAGCCCATGCTAACAGATGAGCAGATGGCACAGGGCTGATCTATCCACTCTGCCCCTGCGTAGGGGCCTCCCTTGGATTAATCAGAAGCTAAGGTTAAAGCACTGGCTGGGGTGCAGGACCCCAGACATCAGCAGTGTACTCCCTGCTTGGTTCTCTCTGCTCAGTCCCTGTCTATAGGTTCTCCACCCCTTGGGCGCCCCAGGCTCCTCCTACCCCATCCCCCTGGAGTCTGAGGCCCTGAGAAGACAGGATCTGGGGAAGATGAGGCACAAGGGTCCTAAATCCCGGGCAGACACCTCACATACTCCACCACCCACAGTAAATCCTTACCACAGTCAGTACCCCTTGCAGACTGGAACCATGGGGTTGTGGCTGGGTGTCATCTTCCTAACTTCTTTGACCTATTCCCAGTCAAGGGCCTAAAGACAGTCCACAGCCCAAGGTCTCTTTCTTCCCCAGGTCTGGAACCTCCCTGGGCCCCCCCACTGGGCTAGCAGCATAAGCTGGAGCTGCATTCTAGGGCTGCTGAAGCTTGGGGACGGGTAGCATTTCTGATCCAGTGCAGTTATCAGCTTCTTCTCAGCCTCCGAGGGCTGGGGAGGATAGTTAGAGAGCAGTTCTGATAGGGTTGTTCAGATAGGGAAATGGAGGCCAGCAGTGTTACTCAAATGATCACCCACAGGCTCCGAATAGGTGGGCCACACCTCGGTCATCAGCCTTCAGCTCCACTCCATTTCCTGCTCCACTTGTAGTGGGTTATCGACGAGGCCAGCTGCAGCGAGCCGGCGGGGCTGGCAGACAGAAGAAGGGCCCTCAAGAGGACACTTAGCACTTCATTAACCTGTCAGCGCCTAAAAGGTCCCAGCGGCCTGGGGGGATGGGCCATAGGCTAGCTGGGTGGGTGGGACTTGAGGATCTAGACTTCACTGGGGCCTTAGGACCTGTCCCTTCTCCAAATCATGAAGCAGACCTTGGCTTTGCACTACTGTCTGTTCGGTGGCCTGTCATCCTAGCAGAGAATTCAAATTTATCTGCTCCGTACCCACCAAGTCTCTGCCCTTTATATAATACCCTCCCCAGGCCAGCCTGGGACCTCCGCCTGTCCTCTCTGATCCTAGGAATGTGCACCTTTCCCTGGTTGCCTCCCTCCTAGGACACCCACGGTCCACTCTTCTCCCCTTTTCCATCTTCACATCTTCCAGGGTGGCCTGGTGATCCACCCTCTCCTCCAGTTTAGGCTGGAGCTGCAGGACCAGGGAGTGGGGCTGAGCAGGGTTCCCTCTTCCTTTCCCACAGCAGGTGTCAGCCTAGGACAGATCTTTTCCTGGGCCTCAGTCTCCCTGCAGGCAAGAGCCTGTGTGTCAGTGGGCAGAAGAGTCTGGAAACAAGTTTGTGGAATGAAGATTCTGGGAACCCAGGAGTGCGAGGTCCAGGCTCAGCGCAAAGACATGGTCTGTGAATGCCGGAAGACTGGCCCTTTCTTTGCGATGACTTTCAGCCCCTTTGCCCAAGTTGAAACTGTTAGGGCCTAGCCTCATCACCTATGTCCCTCCCTCTCTCTCTTCCTCCCTTCCTCCCTCCCTTTACTTGGGCCTGGGCTGCCTCCTCAAAGAGAAAGGTGGATGCGGGATGATAACCCCCCCCCCCGCAAGAGACCCAAGGTCCTGGGGAGAACTTGGGGGCTGGGAAGGGGCCAGCTCAGGTCCCCAGCTTTAAGTTGCTCCAACCGGCCGCCCCAGGCAGGCAGGTTCTATGTGCTCGCCCCTCCAACCAGCAGCTTCGCTCCCTCCTTCACTGAGAAACAGGAACCTGCCCTGCCCTGCCCCCATGGAGACTCTCCAGCCTGGTGGGGGAAGGTGGGGGAAGGTACCCCCCACCACTGCTCCTGCCACTGGTCCTGGCTGAGCACTCCCTGGCAGGCAGGTTCACATGCCTTCGCCCTTGCTTCAGGTCTCCATTTCTAGGGCTCTGTTTTCTGTTTCGGGCTCACACACGTCAAGTCACTTGTCACAGGTCACAGGTCAAGATAGCAGCCATCTAGGACTGGAATCTAAACTGGAGAGACCCTGAGTCTATCCTGTCCCTAAGCCTTCCCCCATACCACACTCCATGCCAGACTGGGTGGCTCCCTAGATATCCCAGCCCCATCTCAGAAAGAGGGCAGAGACCCCAGTACCTTCCTTCCAAACACTCCCAGATATACCCTCCAGGCTCAGTAAAAACCAAGACCTTCCAGCACTGCAACTGACAAATTTATTTAAGTCTTGGAAAGAGCGGATCACTAGAGAATAAATAAAAGTCACGGGATGGTCACAGAACCGACAGGTAGCCAAGATACTGGCTTTAGGGAATGATTTTGACTTATACATGGCCAGCTTTTATGTCTGGGGCAGGTTCAAAAGACCTCCCCAACCCCCAGCCCAGCCTCCTCCAGAGCTGAGTCTCAGTCTGTTTGGCAATGGTATCTGTCCACAGGGCACACCTAGGCCCTGGAGGAAAGGCTCCCTGAAGCTCCACTTCCTCCACCTCGATCCAGAACAAAAAGATCCAGAAACTGGGGGGTTGGGGAGCTGGCAGCAGGGAGGCCCCAGAGCCCAGGGAGGACAGGTCTTCTCCCAGGTCCTGTCAGTGGCTATGGAGGACTCAAGCAGGCCCCCCCCCCGACTGCCCCCACCAGAGGCAATGGTGCCTAGGAAACACAGTTGTTACTATCATTTTATTCAAGGACATTAAAGCATTCTCCAGCCCAGGACTGGGTGGGGCTGGGCCTCCTGTCCTGTCAGAGGCAGCAGCAAGTGTTCTGTTAACTGGTCAATAAAGGGGGAGAATTGCTTACAAAACATGGTCAAGAGTCACTGGCCTGTGGGCAGCAACCAGACAGCCGCCTCTTTGTCCAAGGAAGGGTCAGGAAGCCCCTCATCCCCTGGGAGGAGCCTGAGAGTCTGGCAACAGCAGCAGGGAGGCTCTCACTCTCCAACTCTGTCCTGCTTCCCCTCAGAGGTCCCCCGGAATGGACATCATGGGCCCATTAGCTGCCTAGCCAGGGCAGCACTAAGATCCCTCCTGTCCAAGCCAATGGAGCCAGGGAGCCTTGGTCAGAACTGAGCGTGGTCCACCTCGTCCAGCCAGGAGGCAGGGCTAGCAGGGAAATCGGGGTAACCCCCGCTGCTCTCGGTGGACAGGTCAGAACTGGGTCCGTTTCCTGCCAGCACCCTCATGGGTGGGGGCCCACCTGGGGGCCCTGAAGGGACAAGGCCCAAGCTGGTGTCTGGGTAAACCAAAGTGGAGAGGAGGGGCTGGGAGCCAGGGAGGTTTGGGGGTGCTGCAGGGGATGGGGGAATGCCATAGGGGCTGCCAGGGCGTAGCTCTCTGTACTGCTCTGGACCAGTCAGGCCTCCGTGCTCTAGCGCAAAGCTGCCCAGGCTTCCTGCAGGCCGGCCCAAGGTTGGGGTGGGCTCCCCTAGGCTGCTGTACAAGCTGTTGGCTGGGCCCATGTCTACCATGGAAGTCTCATCTGCAATAGAAACAGACCTGTGATTAGACTTGCCTCTCTACCTGGGGTTCCCCTAGTGTCCCACTGGAGGCTGAGCAGGGGAGACTGCCTTACATCATACAACCAGTCTGGGTCTGAGACAGTCCCTTCAGCTCTCTCAGAGCTTAGGGCTGCCCTCGGTCTGCTCAGCTGGATCCTCCTAGGGAAGGTTCTGATCTCACCCCGGTGAGGCCAGAGGCCAGAGTAAACCAGCCTGGGCAGGGGATGGGACAGCTCTTGGGAGGGCTTTGCTTTGCAGATGAGGAAATTAGGGCCCAGAGAGGCTGGGCTAGCAGCCTGAAGTCACAAGGCATCACCAAACAGAAGTTGGGTATTTAGGGATGATGAGGTGTTCAGGTGCAGAAAATGAATCCACCCCCCAGCTCCAAGAAGCGTTTTATAATGTAACCCCAGGGTTGCTGCCCACCGTCCTAGGAACCCCTAAGGATGAGAAGCAGAGAGCACCGACCTAGATAGACCCTCCTCTGGGAGGCGAGAGCCTGTAGGACCAGCCAACCAAGGTTGGGCTGGGCAACCAGGGCCTGTGTGTGATCAGTTTTGGAAAAGGCTGGAGTCCCCAGTGTAGAAACAGACTGCTAGGTTTGCCCAGACCTCGGGAAGCCTGTCTCACCTCCCACACAGACCTGCCGCGGGACCCCAAGGAGTGAGCGGCGGACTCACCAGTGAAGGAGACCTCGGCATCGCTATCCTGCCCCTCCTGGATGCTGTCCTTGTCCGACTTGGAGCTGCCGCGGGAGCGCTTCATGTTGCGGAAATACTGCCCCCAGCGCTGCCGGCCCGCGTCCTTCTTCAGCCTCTTTTCCTTGGCCCGGCGGTTCTGGAACCACACCTGCGGGGTGGGGACGGTGAGGGGCCGCCGAGAGCCCGCGCGGCCCTTCCCGCCCGGGGCCGGGGAGCGAGCGCTGACCTGCACCACGCGCATGTCCAGGCCGGTCTCGGAGGAGAGCTGCTCCCGCACGTGGCGCGCGGGCTTGGGCGAGGTGTTGTAGGCGCTCTTCAGCGTCTCCAGCTGCTTGGCTGTGATGGTGGTGCGCGGCCGCTTGGCCGTGGCCTCGGCCTCTGTGTGCAACCAACCGAGAAGTCCGCCTGCGACCCGGCTGCCCCGCCCCGCCTCACCGGAGAGCCGCGCACGGTTCCCAATGCCCGCCGCGCCCTGGTTCCCAGGCAGAGCCGCCTTACGGGCTTCAGCGAACCCCCGGCACCCGGGGAGGAACTTGCTGTGCCGCGCACCATCCACAGCCTTGGTCCCCCCTACAATGTTTTTTTTTTTTTTTGTCTTTTTGAGACAGGGTCTCCCTGTAGCCCCAGCTGGCCTGGAACTCGTTATGTAGAGGACTTGCTGTGCCGCGCCCCATCCACAGCCTTGGTCCCCCCCCCAATGTTTTTTTTTTTTGTCTTTTTGAGACAGGGTCTCCCTGTAGCCCCAGCTAACCTGGAACTCGCTATGTAGACCAGGCTGGCCTCACACTCACAGAGATCCGCCTGCCTCTGCCTCCCGAGCGCTAAAGGCATGTGCCACCACAACCGGCCTCCGTTCCCTTGTTCTAACTTTGGGTGAGTCAAGTCTTCATGGTCAAAGTTGTTGGGCTGATAATTCTCCCAGTTCCGACAACCTCCTGCTCCCGACAAGGCGACTGGGCCGGCGGAACCAACCCGCCCCGTGGCTGGGATTCCTGGTCCCCCCACCTCCCAATACCGAACTGCCTAAATTCCGCTGTGAGCGCCATCCTCGTCCACCGACCTCGCTGCTTGGCTGTCTCGTAGTCCGCCTTGCATACCAGCCGGCTGTCCTCCATGAGGTAGAACTCATCCCCCGTGGCCAGCTGCCGCTTGCACACCACGCAGGCGAAGCAATGCAGGTGGTACACAAAGTCCTGGGCTCGGCGCACCACCTGTGTGGGCGGAATGCCCAGCTGGCATGCGGCACACTTGGTCCCGAAGCGCCTGCGGGATGCACAGGGCTCGGCTCAGAGCGGCGGCTTAACGGCTCCTTCGCCCGGAGCGGGCTGGAAAGCAGAGAGCTCACCGTGCGCGGAGGGCGGGCTGGAAGACTCCACCAGCTGCCCTGCAGCCTGGACAGAGCTGTGAATACTAGCGACAAGGGGGCCTCAGGAGCAGGGTCCTCTCCCACGGCAGGACCTTGGGGAACTGAGCCTGCTCCTTGCTGATGGAGAAGGTGGATCTCAGAGGCCTTACCTGGGGGTAGTTCCCTCAGACCCCCTGAAGCCTAAAGGTTCCCACTCCCTAGGTATTTAGGAACAAAAGTGTGATTTAAGAGGAAGTAAGTCTAATACAGTTCTAAAAATTCGTTTGGTTTATCTCTCTCTTTTTTTAACTGCTTCCACGATTTACAAAAAAAAAAATCACTTAAAAAAATAATGTTATTGGGGGACCCCGCTCTGAGCTTGGCTGTGTCCCAGGGTGCGTTGCCTGGGGTGTTAGAAGGGGGTTTGAATCTAGTTTTCCCGGCCTCTTTTCAATCTGGCAGCCCAGCCAGTTCATCATCCTTCCCCTCTTCCCGCTGCTGCGAAAGGAACGCGGCAACCAGCTCACTTGAAGAAGTCGTCTTTGCAGTAGACGCTCTCCCCGCGGCTGAAGCAGCGCTCGGCCAGCGGCGTGTGGCAATCACTGCACTTGAGGCACTTGCTGTGCCAGTGTCGGTCCAGAGCCTTAAGGATGAAGCGGTCCAGGATGTGCTGGTCACAGCCAGCACACAGCGGGATCTCTGTGGATACAGGAATAGCCCAGCTCAGGGGACTGTAGACGGGTGGTGGTCGTGTTACCTTTTCACCAGCTGGAGCGAGCGTCCAGACCTACGGACCCCAGGGCTGCTCAGGGATTCACTTCCCCAACACCTTCCCCAGCCAGCTTCCATAACCACCCATCTTCCCTGTGCGGTGATGAGGCACCGCATGCCTCAGCCTCGCCCCACCTGGCAGTCATGGAAGTCAAAACAGATCTAGAAACTGGGGCAGGATAGTGGCTGCAGCTGTCCCACAAGGATGAAGACCACCAGTTACAAGGTGTTTCCAGTGTAAATGCAGGGCATGTGAAACTCAAACCACACCCCCAGGGGATCTGTTCTGGAAAGCTGGAACAGAAAATGGGAAACTGTTCTTCCTAGTAGGGGCAGAAAGCCACATCGGGGGTGGGGGCACTTGAGGCACTAGGTACCTCTACCCGGTCACTTTCATGATTTCCTACTAGTCATCCTGGTTACACTTTGCAATGGCCCCACGAAATGTAGCTGCCCAGTCCTGGACCCATCCGCAGCCTCCAAAGTAAAAAACGGATGCAGGTCCTACTTTGAGTGGCTGCGAGTATTTATGCGTGAGCTGGCTAAGGGACCTGCCCTCCTGCTCGGATGCAGGTGCCTTCACCTCGCCACACCGTCAGTTCCTCACTCAACTTCTCATCAGTCCTGTTCCCCTGGAGCGCAGGCCTCAGAGGAATCCGGCTGGGGAAACCCAAGAGTGTTCTGCAAGAACGGAAGAGGGGCTCTTCCTCATGGCTGGGGGACGAGGAGTCCCTGAAAATTTCTAAAAGGCCTCCGGCGGTGGACGGAGGAGGAAGTCTGCTCTACCTCCCTCCAGCACCGGCCAGCAGTTTGGGGAAGACGTGACCCCGCATGGAGTGAAAACGGGGCTCCAAGTGTAGACATATAAACCCATCCACGGCTTCACGGGTCCACCGCCATGGGAGCCATCTCTGGACGGGTGAGGACACCCAGAAGAGTGGGGTGGCTAGACAGACCAACGCATGCAGATTCAGCACCTCGGCACGGACAGCGCCTCAGCCACATAGTCCCAGGGCCCCCGCTTCCTACAAAAGACATCCCCAGTTGCCCAGCCTCCCAGACGAGGCACGTTCGCCCTCCGCTTACGTTGCATGGTGACTGTAGCCTTGCTATAGTTTCCCACCCGGAGTCGGAGGGTCCTGTAGTGCCTTGGGCATGAGCACTCCAGCAAGCTTCTGGTGCTCTGGAGTCGTTCCCTGCCAAGCCTTCCTCCCACCATGCTTCCTCCTCTCCTCCCACGACTTCCTCACAGCCCCTGCTGTCAACCCCTCTTAGGAACCGTTGGAAAATAAATAAATAAGTAGGACATACCCAAACTCCAGTCTAGATATAACCCTTTTCCAGACTGCTCTGACCTTCTACCTATCGGGTCTAACGGACTTTTCCCCCCACCCCGCGGTCCCAACAGCCTCGAACCGACGGAGAATGCCCCCCCCCCATTTCCCAGAGCCAAAGCTCTGCAAAGAGATTGCTGCCACCAAGAAACTGGAGGCCAGGACAAGCCCCACTTTCCCCTGTAGACGGTCTTGACCACCAGCCTATGGTAAGCAGTGGGTGCGAACACCTCCAAGTAGAGAGGAACTGCCTGCGGTTCAGCAGGACACCGGCCCCCGCCCGCTCTGGAAAGCGGGGAGGGCCTGCACGAAGGCAGCCGTCCTGGGGACCTTTCTGTTCCCCATCGCTGGGCCTGGAACAGCTCCCTAACGTCCTCCGACTCAAGAGCCCGGCTCAGGGCCGCGGAGGGTCCTGTAAGCCGTCCCCAACCACCACCGAGGGCTTCCTGGCGGGAGACAACGCGGCACCGGGGTCCGCACGCCTTGGCGGCTCAGCACCCTAGTCCACCGCTCCTGCGCCCCTCGTGCCCACCCCGCCCAGGGCCCCGGGTCCCCGCTGCGCTCCGTGGCCAGGCCGGGAAAAGCCGGGGACCCCCGGGCCTCCCCCGCGCATCCGCTCCGTCGGGCACCCACCTCGGCGCAGATCGGCCCTGCGCGCCAGCAACGCCAGCAGCAGGTCGCCGCCCGCCGGCTCCCG